AAAAACTCTCTTGGGTTAATGAAATAAGGGACAAATCTAAAATTTGGAAAGTAAGCTCCAAAATATGTTTAAATACAGAAATTATTGAAAAAATAAAAAAGAGATAGAGAATACAGAATTGACCAGAAAAAATATTGCAGGAGAATTGGGGGTGGGGGCAGTAAGAAGAGAGGATGAGTTAACATGAGACAGATTGTATCAATAAAGGAATCCACAGCGGTTAGTTTGTAAGACCTGAACAGAACTTTCTGGAAAAGACAATATTGGTAAGAAGGGGGTGGGGCAGAAGGAAGAGTGAACAACCTAATGAGATGCTGTTGGTTTGCAAGATCTGAGCAGAACTTTCCCCCTCCACATTCTTTGCATTTTGATTCCTGCCTTCCCCTTCCATTTTCTTGCAAAGAAAGAAATTTTGGGTTAGAAAAGTGGAGTGTGTGTCTTATACATGGGGGCATCTTATACACAGAAAAATTTGGTATCTTGTTTCTACATGGGGATGTGGGAGCCATCAGGAGCAGACTGTATGCTACATCTAAGCCAAATTTGGTGTTGATCCAAGGTCCAATTACAAAGTTATACGTTTTTGTTTGGGTTGCTTCTATTTTTAGAAGTGCCTTGCAGAATGTTAATTTGCTATGCTGATAATAAGGGTATGATGTGGAGAAGTTGAATCTGTTTCTTTCTTTTTTTCACCCCATCTAAACTTTTCTCATCCCTGGAGTTCACTGAGGCATTGGATTTAGAGTTGAAAAGAGACTTCCATTTTCTTCCTGTTTAGCTATAAACAGAGGAATCATGCCACACAACTCCATGTGCATGAGCCTGCTGCATAGTCTCTGTTGTTGATGTCAACTTGGTAGAAGAGGTTTGGTGGCACTTTCTTCAAGTAAAGAACTGTATAATTGCATTTGTTACCCCCATGATGTTCCAAAGTTGAAATCCATGTTGACATAGTCAATATAAGGCTAACAATGAATTGTGATTCATCAAACTAATTAAAGATCACCTAATGCTACCAGCAGGCCAACCTCTCTGGTTTTGTAGTTCTAGTAAAACCCAAGTCAGGAAGTTTGTGAAACTATTTCCTGGCCATCAGTCCCTGGTGGTTGTTCAGTTAGGTGAATAGTTGTGCAGTCCACAGTACCTTTAATTGAAACGTAATAATTTTTAAATGTGCTTTTTCATAATTCAGAGGGAAAAGCCAAGTGCTTTTCAGTTTTCTATGATTTGAGAATAAAGAATCTCCCTTTGTGTGTTGTAACAGGTTATGCAATATGGAGAAATTTCTTCAGTTTTAAAAATCTGTATGATTAAAAGTCAGAATGGCAATTTAAATAACTTTTAACTGGGCATTCCATCATACTCGTTCCTTGTCTTATTGGTAATAAAAAGCAATCTCACCGCTTTGGGCAACAAACAAAGAAACAGGCGATGAAGGAAGAAAAACAATCAAAATTAAATCTTGAACTTTGTGCAAGCTCACACTAAATTAATAAACAACCTAATTTAAAAACCTTAGAAATACCATCAGCACTCAGACATATGCATCTCACTGTCAGATTGAAATAATTGCTTTTAAAGATATCTGCAATTCATATTTCCAAGCTTTTTTAAATTGTCACTCATTCGTACACTTTTATAAGTACAATAAAATCAAAAGATGAAAGCACACAAATGACATTTGTGTCATTGTGTCACTGACATTTTTCTAGCCAAGAGATAGAAACAGTAAATACTGGCTTTCAATTCAGAGGGAAAAAGTCAACTGTGGTTAAAGGATGATGCAACATATGTATACAGATTTGTGGACTATATAGAGGGAGTGGGTAGAGATATTTTTTAATTTCTTCTTTTGAAGAATATCTGAAGATTTTGTATTATCATAATTACTTTTCTTTTACATAGCGTTGGACTGGGGAAAGATCAGCACCTTCTAAAATAATTTGTAAATAACAATTGAAAGTACAGTGGTACCTCGCTTAACGGGCGCCCCGTTGAACGACAAATCCGCATAGCGATGAATTTTTGCTATCGTTTTTGTGATCGCATTGCGATGTTTCTAATGGGAAAAATCGCTTTGCGATGATCGGTAAGCTATTTTGCTTACCGATTTTCGCATAACGATGATTTCCCAACAGCTGATCGGCGGTTCCAGAATGGCCACTGGATTATAAAAATGGCCACCTGCTGTGTTTTTGCTCAGATTCCTTGCTTACCGGGCACGAAAATGGCCGCCGTATGGAGGATTTTCGCTTAAAGGTGAGTTTTTGCTCATAGGAATGCATTAAACGGGTTTTAATGCATTCCTATGGGCTTTTTATTTTCGCATAGCGACAAAATCGCTTTGCAGTGATTCTTGCTGCACGGATTATCGTCGCTATCCAGGGCACCACTGTATGAGTAAATATGTGGGGACATCTCTTGAAGATCCTGTTAATGTAAAGCAAACATTTTAATGTGGGTTATTAGATTGCCATTTCCCTGCCTGAGAAACGTATATGAATCACTAGAATTTTCCCTGGTATTTTAAAAAAAAATGCATTCCAGATGACTTTAAAAAAATCCAAAAAAAAAGGTACTGTGTAAGCAAAAGGCTTTGTGGAGCACTGTGATATTTTAATAGGAAATACCTAATGATTGGTGTGTATTTGAAGCACGTTTGAAGTAGGAATGATTATTACTTGCCACTGTCTGGTGGAGAAATAAATAAAGTTATGTCCTTTGCCAGAGTATTTTGCCATGGGGAATATGAAAAGGGCAGGAATATGCCAGGAACTTTGCAGCTAAGCAGTGATGTTTCCCTTTTTGGAAGGTTTAGAATTGAACCCTTAGTACTTGCTAGAGCTGTGCAATCTTAGACACTTATTCAGCAATGGCTACAGATGTGTGTGACTGTTTATTCATGGTTTCCATTAAAAATGTAGTTAGCTAACTGTTTAAATGTTAGCTAATTAAATGATTATTCATCTTGAATATGAGCAATATCTTCATACATTCAGTTTCATCATAGCTCATGCAATTAAATAGGGAGAATGCTCAGAACAGAAAATGAGAAGAGGAAAAACTTCATAGTCCACAAGGAACAAGAAAGCCATCACAGTTCAGTCTGATCTATCTCCTTGAATTCCTTGGTAACCTTGGGCAGATCATTAAATTTTGCATTTTGCTTTCCGTGCCTGCATATTATTGATAGTGTCACGTCCTCAAATGATTACTGCATAATTCTAGCAAGTGGTGACCAGAGATACTGCTTTTGAATAGCAACTTTCTGGTTGTGGAATTCCTTTCTCAGAGGCTTGTCTGGTGCTAATATTGTTAAATGTTCAGCATGAGGCAAAAATGCTTATTAGATTTTTAGTTTTTAAAATGCATTTTTATGTATTGTTATGTTATATTTATGTATATGATATATATAATGTACATATTTATGTACCAACATTTTGTAACCCCCCTGGAGGCTCTGATGAAAGGCAATATTGTAGTTGCTTAATTGTATGTTTAGGACAGTGGTCAGGGAACAGAGGTAAATTACCTCAAATGGGGTAAAAATGAAAATCCTAGGGGTAATGAGGACATGACCCTAACCCCCTTCCCTCCTCCTCCTCCTCTGCCCGGTGGTAGGGTCCCCGGCAGGCTCGCCCCCTTCTCCAGCCTGGCTGCAACCAAACTATGGCAGATGACGGCCAGCGGCGTACGGCAGCCGAGGCAGCAGCAGGGCCAGCCATGGCGGAGGTCAAGGCCGGGGTGAGTGGCTGGAGCACCCCAGCCAGGAGGAGCCTCTCCTTCCAGCGCCTCGAGAGGTGGATCGTGGCAGAGGGGGACGTGGCCATGACGGTGGCCTGGGTCAGCCTCAGCCTCCTGGTGCTGGGCCGCTGCCCCACGCCGCATCCCCGGAGGAGCCTGTTGGGCAGCAGCGGCACTCACCTGGCCACGCGGCTTCCTTCAGCAGAGCCTCCACGCTGGCCAACCTGGTGTGGCGGAGCCTCTTGCCCTCCTTGCACCAGCTGTCATGACACTTCAACGGCGAGGTCTGCGGCCGCCCCAGCAAGCAGCTATCAGTGCCTGAGCGGGAGGCGCTGTTGGACGCCCTCGGAGGGTGAGCCACCTGCTGCTCTTCAACAGCTGCTCAGGAGCCAACTGCCAGCGGAAAAAGTGAGCTGCCCCACGGGGCCAAGGACTGAGTGCGGCTCCGCCAGGCGGCAGAGGAGGAAGAGGAGGAAGCAGCGGCCTGGGCGGCGGTGCTCAACTGGCCATGTGTGACCAAGATCCTTCCTTTCAAATCAAGGGAGTAATGTCAGCATATATAAATTTTTTAGGGGGTAAAAGGTAAAAAAGTTCCCTGACCCTTTGTTTAGGAGGTTCTGGCACAGAAATGCAAGGAGGTGCGGATTTTCATGTAAATAAAGGTGTTGTTTAGTTATGATAGCAACTTCTTTCTTGACAGTTTCTTTCTTTCCTTCCAGCTGTTCTGAGAGCATGTGCTGATGGAGGTGCTAATCGCTTGTATCATATAACAGAAGGAAACCATGAAAGGTACATTCATAATAATTTGTTTTGATAATTTCCTCTCTTTCATCTTTAAAATGAATCTTGAAGAGTGTGTATTTTGACCTTTCTGGAGCATGCTTTGCTCATTTGTGTTTCAGATAGAAGTGCCTATCATACGCAATATGAGACAAGTACTAAGGATGATATCTCCATAACAATTATTGTTCCTCTCTGTTGTGACATGTAGGATCATTTATGTCAACAATGCTTAGGGATCATACAGTCTTTTGATTCTTTTAGCCATGCTATTTTCCATAAGAGGTTTTCATTTGCAAAATGACAGCTTGGCTTTCAAGTTTAGTTGTTAGTATAGTAGCCACAGCTAATCCTTAATGCCTAAACTGGAGTTCTAGTAGTGTTTTGCTAGAAATCCCATCATCAATTTGATTCCTGAATACAGTACAGTGGTGCCCCGCATAGAGACGATAATCCGTGCAGCAAAAATCGCTGCAAAGCGATTTTGTCGCTATGCGAAAATAAAAAGCCCATAGGAATGCATTAAAACCCGTTTAATGCATTCCTATGAGCAAAAACTCACCTTTAAGCGAAAATCCTCCATACGGCCGCCATTTTCATGCCCGGTAAACGAGGAATCCGAGCGAAAACACAGCAGGTGGCCATTTTTATAATCCAGCGGCCATTTTGGAACCACCTATCAGCTGTTGGGAAATCATCGTTATGCGATAATCAGTAAGCGAAACAGCGTACCGATCATCGCAAAGCGATTTTTTACCATTTAAAACATCGCAATGCAAACGCTTTTGCAATCGCAAAATCTTTATCGCTATGTGGATTCATTGTTAAACGAAGCACTCGTTAAGTGAGGCACCACTGTAATTGTTTTCTACTTCCATCAGTAGCAGGTAATGATGTGGAACAAGGTGCAGAGAAATGCTCAATACAATGATGTCACACCACAGAAACATTTTATTGCAGGCTGCTTGGAAGAACTCTCATTGGAGATACAAAGATCTATAGTTCCAGCACTTGATTTAGGTGGTAGTATTACCTCTCTGTCAAGGATTGTTCCTACCTTTTTTAACATTTAATTGTCTTAACAGAGTCCAGTAGAGGAATAGGAAAATTTCTAGTCCTCCAGGTTTTATCACATTCTTATTCCCATTATCAATAGCCAAATGGAGCAGGAGAGAGGAGGAGTTTTCAACAGGTGGATGACCATAGTTTCTCTAGCTATGGCCCAATGAACAACAGAATCTAAGAACCATTTAGAACTGAGTGATTTTGTGCTGACCCACTGAGGCATTATTTCAATTCATATAGAGGAATACTGTACAGGTGAAAAGCCACAGGTGTTGTAACCCCAGTACTCTGTTTTGCATAATAGCTCTCAGTGTAGCAATTATGTGAATGATTTGTGGAAAAGAAGTACTATGTCTGTTGGGGGGGGAACTTTCCCCCTTTGTCGCGCACCCAGTATCCCCTGTTTGTTTTCCCACTCACGGGTTCGCCTTTGGCACGACTTGTTCTTTTCACCCTTTTTCGCTGCCACCAGAGGATATTACCCTCACTGTACCAATTATGAATCTCAGACTATTGCTGCCAGATATAACAAGGTTTATTTGTGGTTTGGTAGGTAAATTACAGAAGAAAAATCAAGGCTGTTCTTTTATTATGCATTCAATAAATGTGGATTTGATTAAAAGTAAGCTTTCTTGGATACATTCACTTTAATCAAGGTCTCAATATATTCTGTCTATGTATACCTAATTCCTTTTAACTCTTTAATATTCTCTAACACACCAACTTTCCAATATCTTGTCTGAACACTTCACAATCACTTCCTAACTGACTCTCTGTCTCACCCAGTTCTGTTGACTTTGCCCCTTCTGTCCTGCCATAGGCTCCTGCACTAAAGCACTACAATGACTGACAGGAGTGACGTGTGGGCAGTCTGCCACACCCTTATCCCTTCAATAATTCAGCATGTTCTGTGCAATATTGCAGCCTCTAAAACCAGCTTACTTTTTCCTCCCCAGCCATAGTCCTCTCTTTCTCTTCAAAAGTTTGATTTTGTACTATCTTGTGGCATAGAACAAAATTAAAACATCTATATCCTGCTTTCAAAAGAGCTCATATTTTGATCTGAATAGTGGTGGAGGCCCAGCACTGTTGTCTCCAAAACCTGCATAACGATCAAAGCAGACAGTAATTTAAATGCATAGGTAACAACTATGCTTTTTTCTGTTTTACTTTCCTTTAAAATAAGAACAGATAAAATAAAACTAAATCCCACATTTGCAATTTAATCAGGTTTTTAGTCTTTAAAAGTGCTAGAGAACTCTGTTCTTGTTCCTAGAGGGGTTATAAAGCAGTTCCTTCTTTGAAAGATTGTTGGAGTATTTAGGAGAGGAACCATACAAATAATTCCCACTTCATCCTCTGTAGAAGTTGCTGGTTTGCTACAAATGTGACTTCCTAATAGCATTTTTCAAAAATTATCTATGGAAGACAGAATCCTTCTGTCCCTCTCCCAGGAGTGTGATTGTCCTGTTGAGTATTGATAAGTGCAATAGGAACTTGTTGTGACCTCATGACAGTTCAGAAAAGTTAAATTTATCTCAGCATTTACTTCTGTCATACTATCGTAGCACCATTGAGAGTGTCCTAACCTATGGCATTCTGGCATGGTTTGGGAGTAGCTCTGTAGCAGACAAAAAAGCTCTACAGAGAACCATTAAAATTGCCCAGAATATCATCGGGCTCCAGCTACCAACCCTGGATGACATTTTCACATCCTGCTGTCTGAGGAGGAGACTCTTCCCATCCTGCTTATAACTTTTTTGAACTGTTGCTGTCTGGCAGAAGATATAGAACAATTAAGACTCGGACCACACATTTTCTGAATAGTTTTTATCCCAGAGCTATAATTGCACTTAATAATGAGCTTAAAGACCACTAATAGTGAATAGTTAGTTGGACTGTGTTACTTGGCCTGCGGTGTAGATGTTTGTATTTTTAGTGGGGACTTTTAGTGGGTCGGGAGTGTTGGGGGATTTTTTAGTGGGTGGGGAGTGTTTGGGGAATTTTATGTGTGTGCATGTGTCTGGTCTCTGGGTGTCTGTGAATTTCATTGTATGGGTATACTGTGTATATACTTACAATGACAATCAATCAATCAATCAATCAATCAATCAATCAACCAATAAAAGGAATCCAGGTTTTTATCTCTCTTTTATCTGTCACTAGTTCTGTTACTTTAGTGTTGCTGGTTTTGTTGTTAGTCTCCTAGTTATTTGATTATTTCTTTTTATTTATTTACAATATTTCTATGCTGCCTTTCTCCCCAAAAAGACCCAAGTCTGCTTACATCATTAAAACAGTATTTAAAAGGAGTCTACTTACATCATTAAAACAGTATTTAAAAGCTAAAACAGTAAGTATAGAAATATTTAAAAAGAATTAAACAAGTGTTACATTAAAATAGTAACTAAGATCAATACTAAAACACATTTAAAACCACAGAGCACAGCAATCCATTTAAAACCTCTCTCAGACCTCCAGTTATTAAGAAAAAGCCTGCCTGAAGAGAAAGGTCTTCGCCTGCTTGTGGAAAGACAGCAAAGATGGGGCCAGCCTGGCTTCCCGTGGGTGGGGAGTTCCAGAGTCTGAGACCAGCCACAGAGAAGACTCTCTCCTGTGTCCCCACCAAGTGCACCTGTGAGGATGATTGGACTGAGAGAAAGGCCTCTCCTGATGATCTTAATGCCCGGGCAAGCTCATAGAGGTAAATGTAGTCTTTGACATAGCTTGGACCCAAACCATTTAGGGCTTTGTAGGTTAAAACCAGCACTTTGTAGGTTAAAACCAGCACTTTGAATTGTGCCTGGAAATGGATCAGCAGCCAGTGGAGCTGCTGTAACAGGAGTGTTACACGTACCCTGTAACCAGCCCCGGTTAACAAACTGGTAGCAACATTTTGCACCCTTTGAAGTTTCTGAACACTTTCCAAAGGCAGTCTCACATAGAGCATGTTACAATAATACATAAGATGTAACTAGAGTGTGTGTCACCATGGCCAGATCAGACTTCTGAAGAAATTAGTGCAGCTGGCTAGTTTTAACTGTGCAAAGGCACTCCTGACCATCGCTGAAACCTGGGCATCCAGGCACAGAGATGAATCCAGGAACACCTTCAAGTTCTGTGCCTGTGTTTTCAGAGGGAGTATAACCCCATCCAGCATAGGCTGCAACCTTATTCCTTGATTAGTTTTTACTGGTTTGTTGTTGAATTTGATTTTATTTGTAGCTAGCCACCTTAGAATACCTCTGGTCTAAACGTGGGACAATAGTACTATAATAATATAATATAATATAATAAATAAAGAGAAGATCCAACTACAAATGGCAACTTTTTTGTTGATTTTTGTTGTTGTTAAAGCATCCAGAGATTCTGATGTTGTGTATATGTGGAGGGGTTCATATCCACTGATTACAATTAGTAAGATTTTCTTGCAGCAAGTGTTTTAGATGCTTGCTACTGTTGACTTTCTCCTTTCTTCTTTAAAGAGTGAGACGGTGATACCTGCAGTGTGGAATATCACTTGTTATATTAAATTTATTTTGTGCAAGAAATGAGTGCACAGTGTTCTATAAAGTCTTTGGTTCTCAGCCTAATATATCAGGAAATGGAATTTGTTTTGGTAGGGAGTAGATTTGTTCAGCAGACATAATGTCTTTAGCATTCAAAAAATTAAAACTCACTACTGCCCAAGATACCAATATTATGCCCAAGGAATAAATGTAATTATGTTAGATGAGTTCTCATAAATGTAAATATATAATTCAGGAAAACTGGATCGTTGCATCACAAATGAATAATCTTAATTACTCTTCACTGACTTGATCCTAAAGTGTTCTTATCTTGAGATTGTATTATATCATCAGAGCCCAATTTTTATACAATAAATTGTGCAAGATTTTGTTATTTGCCTCCTCTAAGCCTGCTGGAAAGATTATTAATTCACT